GCCCCAGAAATCTGTATTGGTGCACTCATAACTCAGATTCAAAATACCATTGGTAATATGGGGCTTTGGAAAATTTTATTCAGGGTCAACAGTAGACAAGCATCATCAGTGTAGCTAAGTCTAGTTACTCATGGAAACCCTTATGCAGATGTGCAACCTAATTTAATTTAAATTAAATTTAAGGGTGGCATCTGTGGAAATAAATTTAATCATGTAGATATAAATTTTCTGATGTGTGTATATAGTCCTAAGATTATGGAATAAATTATAAGATTTGTTGCCAAGTTGGTTTAATAGAACTCCCCCTATAACTTCGTACTAACAGTGTTGAATATTTTGCTAGGAAAATTTAATGTCTAATGTTTTTTAAAAAATTGCATCTAAAGTTTAATTTAGAAGTAGTACTTGATATCTTTTTACAGCTAATGATTTTAGAACTTTTAGTCAGGGAGTGCATGCTTGAAAGAAACCCAGACTTTTTTTCAAGACAGTAATAAACAAGCTTAAAGTTCAAACAGAAAACAAATGATTTAAATAAGAATGGGTAGACTGTATGATATAACGCAAAAAAACCCCTCCAGCTGAAACTTCCAAAAGCATTCTTTTTGTTTATATTTCAGGTTGTTCCCAAATTCAAATGTCAGTGACAGTGGTGTCCCTACATTACCTTCATTGACAATGCGGCGGATGCGGGAGTCTGTTTCCCGATTACCTGTTAGGTAAGCAGGTATTTCCTATGACTTGTTTTGAGAAATAATACAGATTTAAGGGGAAAAAACTGGAATGATCAAGTAATAAATGGTGGTTAACAGTATGCGGTAAATACAACCATAGTGTTTAAAGCAGAAATATTAATACCTGTTTGTGTATAAGTGTAAGTAGCTAATCAAGTGCAAAGTCTCCACCTTTTATGATTTTTCTTAACTTTAAGAGAAATTTTGGGTTGGTATTTGAAACTGAACTCATAATTTTGCGGTTTTAATTTACGTTTTTTTTGGTGACTTCTGTGTTTTCCTGTTTGAGAAGAAAGGGGAAGGGAAATTAATAAAAAATAACATGGATTTGAAATTTCTTCAGATATTGTCCTATTTGACTTGCAGCCTGTTATGTAGTAAACATATGAGGATGTATGATATTTGTTATTACAGGACTCTTGTGTTTTTAAAATAGCACTAGTCTTTTGTCACTATTACTTGCTCTTACCGTGAAGCCTATGCAGAGGGATTCAGGGTGGGAATAAAGGAAGCAAAGTATAAAATTATTATTAAAAAAAATGTTGCTTCTTTAAATAATAAATTATGAAGCCTACAATGAATATAATGGATGAATGGAGGGCTAGATTCTTAACCAGCTGGTCTTTCCTGTCACGTAGAGGCTGATAAGGGCTAGACTAGGCCAGGCCAGGGCAAAGTGTATATGTCTCAGCTACCTCTTGGCAAGCCTCTGTCTTTTCAAGAGTGGTATGGGGTACAAAGAAGCTGCTTTGCATGTGATCTGGAGAGCTGTAGCAGCAATTACCATATTTTCATGTGTAAATTTCACTTCCCAGATGCCTCACACCATTTTAACCGTAGTGTTTCTGGGAAATTGGAAAGCCTCAGATTACCTACCCAACATTTTATCATGCTTACTAATAAAATAAGTATAATTGAATGTAGTTGTTTTTCATTGAAACCACCAAACTCAGTGGCAGCTGTTACTGCAAAATATAAATAACACTTCAGCATTAAGAGTTGCACTGTATTTTTCCTCTGTCTCTAATTCACAGTTGACCTGGATATGCATTTTCAGGTTTTCATTAGTTTTTTTTTTTTCTGGCTGAGTCTTGACCGTTGAGTTTGGTGATCATAGTGATGAAGATTTGCATTCATTTTTCATACAGCCTTTGCTGCTGGATCCACAGTGGCTGGAAGTTCAGTTCATATTGCTGCACCATATATATCCGTGCATACCTTCCTGCATCCATTGCTCTCACATTTGGTGGACAGTGATTTTTTAAAACTGTGATTCATGCTGTGCCAAATTACTATAGGAATTTGGGCAAGCTTCCTGAAATCAAGACCAGCTCTGAAATTTTTTTTTGCCATTTTGGATTTGAGGAAAGATAGACTGCAGCACAAAACAGCTTTGTGGATTTAAATAAATCTTCCTGGCTACTTATACCAACAGGTTTTTTGGTTCTATTTATCATTAATTCATTGTTAAACCATCGTCTTTTATTAATAGACACAGAAGCCTTTTGGCAATTTCATGTCCATTTTTAAATATGATACGATGTCTTTTGAGCTTAACCTTTTCTCTGCCAGTGGAACAGCTGCTGATGCAAGATTGTATGATTATACATGGGTAATGACTTGTGCCTCATAAATTTATTGCATCAGCTTGGGCCACCTTCAGCATCATTAATTTTCATTTCTCGGGCCCTCATTTGTTGGTACTTCTCTGTTGGCTTATGTCCACCAATACCCACCTTTCTAGGTTAGCCTCAGTAGAGACCATTTAACAGTACCTTATTTAGAGATCATGCTTTCCGTGTGGTAGTTTCTGCAAATAATCTCTTATCTTCTGCCTTTTTGAGAGTGCAGATTCTTGTCCTGCAGTACAACTGTGTGGTAAAGCAAGGTTGACCAGTCTATGGCATGGGCAGCTGCTGTATGTGGCAAACAAGCTCTGGGCACTCAATAAAGGGAGAGAGGTGCGTGCGTGCGTGCGCGCCTTCAAATGCCTGGTAGTGGGGGCAGGATACTGCTGTGAAAAGATCTAGGTTAACACTTCCATGGCTGTGCAGCCTTCACTGAATTCAGGGTTTGGATCCTTGCTTATCCCATAAAACTGGTGGTTGCAGGGCCAGGGAAAGGTCACTGGCTCTTGGCAGTGACACGACTCTCTCATCTGTGTCCTAGGGTGGAACCTCTTGTTAGGTGTGCGTTTTGCAGGCAGAATGGTATTTGGAGTTTTAATTTGTGGCACACCTACCAAAAAGGTTAGCCACCACTGTGGCAAGGCAAGGCCCACAATCTTCAGCTTAAATTCATCTGGAAAACTTTGATGCGTGTTTTTCGTTGCAGTGACTTGTGTCTTGCTGTCATGTGGTCAAATAGGACTGACTTTCTTCTCCCCCTCTACCATTCCAGGCTTTCCCTGAAGGTGGCTCTTTATATCCCTTACTCCCCAGCAAAGGCAGATAAACGTCCTCTTATTGTCCATACTGCTACTGAATTACTTTTGAGAGAGAAACCATTATACATGTCATAATGTGTTAACATTTTTTGATCTTCTTCCCCACTCCTGTACTTTCGACATCTGTAAAATGAGTTAAAAGCATATATTTTATCTATCATAAAAGTTACCTTTTTGCAAGCAGTCTAGCTCAGCATTTCTCATCTCATGGGTTGAGACCCAAAAGTGGGTTGCGAGAATATACGAAAGGGTTGTGAACAAACTTAAAAAAATGGATCAACAAACTATAAAAATAGATTCTTTTTTAAAAGAGAAAAATGTGGGAATCCATGGGTTTCCCCATGCAGTTGGTGGGGTTCCAGTCTGCTTGGGGCTAGGGGAGCAGGAAGAGAGTGATCAAGCAAGCGGGTGTCATGTGCATGTGCACACAAGCACATGGTAGCCAGGCAGTGTGGTGAGCAGCTCCCCACAGGTAAGTCTATATGGGGCAGAGGAGCCCAGGCTACACTGTCTGCCTCCTCATCTCCTCTCTAGGGTAGAGCTGTGGCCTGAGGGCAGTGATGATGGTGGCCAGGCCATGGTGGTGGGGTAGAGCTGCAGCCTGGTGCTCAAGTGGCTGGTGGTTGGAGAAAGTGAGGGCACTTCCCCTCTGTCCCTCCCCCCTCCCCCCCGGTCTATTACTTCTTGTGCTGCTGGTGGCATGGGTGGTGCGGATTTTCCAGTAGCAGTGGCAGCATTGTCTTTCCGCCCTGCTCTGCCCTTCTGCGCCAAATCCCACATACTGGGCCATGGAGGCAGCTCCTTGCCTGTGCCAGTCTAACCAGGCTGCAGCCCCATGCCTACTGTGGGTGAACAAATCTGCCCCACAAACCCCTGCCCCTCACACTAGGAGGGTGGGGCCTGGGGGGCAGGGGCGAGGTAGGAGTGAGGGGCACTGGCATGGCTAGGGGACTGTTTTCTACTTAAACTATTTACTGGCTTAGGACTGGCCATTGCTGCTTACAAATGGGTCCTGGTACAAAAAAGGTTGAGAAGTAATTGACTGCAGTATGGGTAGTCGTGTGATTTAAGACTAATAGGATTTTGTGTCATTACCCATGATTGGTAATTCTTTGTCAGGTATAATTTACTGTTGAGCCATGTATTAAAATAATTGTATTCCTGTTTAATATTTCATAGAACTATATTGAGTTCTGTTCAGATAGTCTTGGGTTTCACCGTTGCCTTGAGAGCTATTAAATTGTTGTATCAACTTGTTCCTCCTTTCACAAATTTGAATCTTCACAGTAAATAATGGAGATGTCTTTAAACCCCACAAACTGATTTAACTTGCTCAGTTGAGTGGATCTTGCTTAAAAGTCTGACAAATAGCATAGATCGCTGATGGATGTGCTAGGCAGGTATGCCAGCTGTCAGAATGTTGCTTAAAACCCTTTAATTTAGTTCCTAAACTATGCTGGGCAAGATCCAGCTGGCTAAATAGTTTTAGTTATCAAATAGTATTAACCCTTCCTCTAATAGAGAATTCTGTGCAATTTAGTATATCTTTACTGAAAACTAAATTCACAACTAATATTAGTGGAAAACATGAACTACGACTTAACTGTCTTCTCTACTCTATAGTTCTCAGCACAGATATTCTACACCTCATGCCTTCACATTCAACGCATCAAATCCTTCGTCTGAGGGCTCCCTTTCCCAAAGGCAGAGATCTACGTCCACCCCAAATGTTCACATGGTCAGCACTACTGTGCCGGTAGACAGCAGGATAATTGAGGTAATACTCTGAATAAGAAACAATATGTACTCGGCTAAAATAACTAGATATATAACTAGTAGTAATTTTTCTCTCCCCCCCCCCCCCCCCCC